TGTTTTAGTTATGAAGTGTGTTTTTTACATATTAAGTTGTGTTTGTAGGTATTAAATCGTGTTTGTCGTGATTTGAATTATTAACTCGTGTTTCTAGGTATTTTAAGTTTTAATTTATTGTAACTTTTTTAATTTAAATATGAAATGCTTGTGTTCTAAAAAATATATTTTATTTGATATTAATTGTTTGTGGTTTAAAAAAATAAAATTTATTTAATATTAATTGTTTGTGTTTTAAAAAAATATGATTTCATTAAATTTCAAAAAGAAAAAAAAAATAGAGTGCTAGGAGTGAGTGTTACCACTTCATATGAAATGTTAAGAATTGGATGGGAGGTGACAAACAAAAAAATAACGTGACACTAAAAAATGATGTAGCAAGATGTTAGGAGTGTTACCATTTTTTCTAGCCTTAACATCGATTGCGAATTCATCAATAACTAGTTGTGAGACTCATGTATTATATAAGTTAATTTTAAAAAAAATAAATATAAACGTCAAAATATTTGAGAACTTTGAATTTATAAGAAAATAGGAAAATAATGAATTATTATAATAGAAATGTCTTTTATCTTTTAAATTTAAAGAAATAATTTAAATAAATAAAAGAAACTAATAAACTTTAATTTTGAGAATTTTGAAATTAAAAGGAAAGTTCATTAACGAAATTGATATCAATTTACTACTATATTTATTGCAATTATTATATTAAAATATTATATGGAATTTAATAAAATAGAAAAACTCATAAAACGACATGTGAAAAAAATTTAATTCAAACTAACCATAAAATGACATTTGACAAATTGAATGAGAATGTGACAAGTGACAAAAAACCTTCATTTATTAGAGAGAAATTTACCATGTGGAGAAGCTAAAACTACACATCAAGAGTGGAAATCAAATATAATTGATGGAGGTTAGTGTTTTCAGAATTTTTTTTTAAATTTTTATATATTTTCGTATTTATGGGCGTGTTCGACAAAATTAGCTGGTAGTGGGTAGCTTGTAACGGGTAGCGGGTAGCTTGTAACTTGTAGCGTTTTGTTAAACGCTACAGGAAGTAGCTTTTGGATTTTGAGCGTTTTGTTTAAACTAAACGCTAGAAGCTTGTAGTGCCAAACAAAACAATCTGTTCAAAACAGAGCGTTTTGTCAAACGCTAGAAGCTAGAAGCTCTCAAACGCTCCCAAACATTCCGTGCCGAACACGTCCTATCTATGTTTTTATAATTTTCCATTTGTACAAATTATTTGTTTAACAATTTCACTTTCTAATGTTTTCAAATACTGGTTTTCATATATGTATAATTGTAAAAACATATAAACATTTGTTTTTAATATATTCATTTTCATAAAAAAAACACTCTTATATATAATTTAACATAATATTTTAAATTATGTGCCGGTACTTAAAATTTTAACGCTCTTCAACCTCTACTTTCAATTAATTTTGTAGCCCGTCTAAAATATCAATACTTTTGTTAAAAGTAATTGATTTTTGGATCATTATTGTATAGTTTTTTATATATAAAAGTTTGTTGTATATTTGTTTTTATTCATATGGTTATATGAAAGATATATTAAATTTAGATAAAATTGCAAAAATGTTCCATGTGGTTGTCAAAATTATGTAAATTTGGTCCAAAAAAGTTTGGTGGTGCATAACTTGTCCAATTTTGGATAATTTGTTTGGTTTTGGTCCCTATGATTAACATTTATGTGTGGTTTTGGTACACACCCAACTTGAAAAGACGAATTTGCCCTTATATAATTATTATTTTTAGTTTTTTATTTAATTTCTTATTATTTTTATTTAAAAGAAAAAAAGAAAAGACTCACTTTACTCTCTCTCTCTCTCTCTCTCTCTCTCTCTCTATAATATATATATATAGATATATATATATATATATATATATATATATTATATAATTATATATATATATATTATATAAACATCATCACACTACCACCGCTGGAGCACCACATGTCGGACCTCCGACTGCCGAACGACCAACTGTCGGACCTCCAACTATCCGACCACCACCTGTTGAATAACGACCTGTCGATCCACCACCTACCGGACCACCCATTCCTCTTAAATCGCACCCCACGACGCCTTAAAATAAGATCCACAATAAGATCCACAACTCTGTTACCCTAGTTTCGACAATGAGAAGAGGCCTGGTGGTTTCAGATCGGGGTATAAGGAGGTCGAAGATGACGACGATCCAGTGGCTGAGTGTAGATCTGGTTGTTCCGCTGGATGTAGAAATGACAGCAAAGCCTTCCCCATTCGTTGATAGATGACATCTAGGGTTCCGACGGCGGCGCACAAAGGTTAGACTTGCAATGGCAAAGCAGTTTGACGATGTTAGTCGAACAAATCAGAATCATTCTAGGGTTCCAATGGACTTCGAGTATGTGAATGAGGGTTGTACTCCGGTGAATGATCAATCTTCCAATAAAGAAAGGTGGTTGATTTGAGAGATTTCTGGTGAGAAGCTGAAAAAGATAAAAAGCTATGTTGGGGAAAAAGAAATGTAAAGAGATGGGGGAAACAATGTATACGAGAAAAGAGAGAGAAGGAGAATAAGCTCGAGGGAACTCCGGGAAGAATGGTGTCTGGCGGCGGTGTTTCCATGCACCGGTGGTGGAGGCGAAGCTGGTGATGAAGGGGCTTATATGGGAGGGGTTTGGGTTATTTTCTTTTATTTATTTATTTTTGTTTTAAGTTAAAAAAAATCAAATTAATTTATGTATTTCAGAAATTAAAAAAATAGAAAATGTAAATTATAAGGGCATATTTGTCTTTTTAAGTGTATAGGGACCAAAATCACTAAAAAGATCCGAAATTGGACCACTTATGCTCCACCAAACTTTTTTGGAGCAAATTCACATAATTTTGACAATCACAGGAACCATTTTTGCAATTTTGTCTTAAGTTTATGTTTGAAATTGTGGTCAAACCAAATTTTAAAAGACTAAACTGCACAAATGGTCCCTGTGGTTTGCTCAAAATTGCCACTTTGGTCCAAAAAGGTTTGGACTAGCACCACAGGTCCAAAGTTTTCATTTTCTTGCTAGTTTGGTCCAATTTGCTTTGAACTTTTTCATAATGACCATTTTGCCCTTAGTTTTTTATTTATTTAAATATTTTTCTGTTTAAAAGAAAAATAAAAAAATTTGTATTTTCGATTTACTTTTATATTTTTTTTATAAAGGAATAAAAATAAATAAATAAATAAAAACATCTCTCTCTCTCTCTCTCTCTCTCTCTCTCTCTCTCTCTCTCCCTCTCTCTCTCTCTCACTCACTCACTCTCTCTCTCCCCCTAAAATCTACAACCTCATCTTCTTTCATTCTCATATAAACGCCGATGTATCTTCTTCCATTTTCGTCATCTGCAAAAATTTGAGTTGAAGCTTACATCAGAATACCCAGTTCAATGGCTTACACCCAAAATCAATTGTTCTTCACGACGGTTTTACACCAATCAGCACGTGTGATCGATTCAGATTGAAAAAAATGAGAAACTGGCCCAAATCCTTTAGCATAAAGATCTTCACACATACCTGGATGATTGATCGAGTGAGTAACGATTTTACAGTAATTGTGTATCGTAGTCGTTTCAAAACAGGGAGGAAAGATGAAATCATAATCAAAGAAGAAGATATGGGGATTTTTAATAAGGGAATGGTGTTTTGGGTCTTTTTTATGGGGATTTTCAATGGGTTCAAGAACCCTAATTTCTTCTTCTTCCTCTATATGTTATATCAAAGATCATAGATTTGCAGAGGGTTTAATTTTGAGAGAGTGTGTATGTTCATATGTTTGATTTTCTATAGGAAGAAGGAAGAAGATGGGTATGTTCGTATGTTCGTATGGAATGAAAGAGAGAGGGGTAGGTGGGTGGTGAGGATGGATTTCATATTCAGGGAGAATTGGTGGATTTCAAGGTCCGATGATGATGATTCTCGCGGAGGTTCAACAACCATCGGTCGCGGGGAAGAAATAACCACTGGAAAAATTACATGCGGTTGGGGATGAGATAGAGAACACGGGAGAGGCTAAATAGGGAGGAAATAGACGGGAGGTGATAATCGGTGGTGGTTCTGGTATTGCCGGAAAAAATGGAGGCGTAGGGGTTCATTTCCACAAATCTTATTTAGGGTTGCTGATAGGAAGGGATGTCGGTGGATCTGTGGGTTTTGATCGGGTAGGGTCAGGAAATCACTTACCTTGGTCGGTGGCATCCGATGGTGGTGGTGGCGGAAGGTGGTGCTGGCAGCTTCCGGTTGTAATTTAGATGGGGTTCAAAGTTTTTGGAGGCCGGGGAGGAAGACAAAGGTGTGTCTTTGATGAGCATTGTTTACGAGAGAGAGAGAGAGAGAGAGGAGAGAGAGAGAGGAGAGAGAGAGAGAGAGAGTAGAGAGAGAGAGGAGAGAGATAGATGAGAAGCGAGAGAGAGAGAGAGAGAGAGAGAGAGAGAGCGAGAGTGAGAAGAGGCAGAGAGACGAGAGAGGCGAGAGATCGAATAGAGAGCGAGAGATTGGAGGGTAGAGAGATGAGAAATCGAGGGAGAAGAGGAGGAGAGAGAGAGATTGTATATTTTATTTATTTATTTTTATTCCTTTATAAAAAAAATATAAAAGTAAAATAGAAAGTACAATTTTTTTTATTTTTCTTTTAAACAGAAAAATATTTAAATAAATAAAAAACTAAGGGCAAAATGGTTATTATGAAAAAGTTCAAAGCAAATTGGACCTGTGGTGCTAGTCCAAATCTTTTTGGACCAAAGTGGCAATTTTGAGCAAACCATAGGGACCATTTGTGCAGTTTAGTCATTTTAAAATTATCGTTGCGATTTGTGCGTTTATTTGATGGGGCTCAATTTCGCATGGACTCGCCGTTTCGACAAAAAGGGGTCTCCACTCTCCCCGATCTCTTTTCATCACAACAACATCAGCAACAACCCTAAAAACTATTACCAAAAATCAAAATGTCAGACCATATACCTTTCCATATTCAAGCAGAGATCATGAAAAGGCTTCCTGTCAAATCACTTATTCGATTTACGTGCGTTGCAAAAGCATGGAAATCTTTGATCGAGAACTCCGAGTTTATTTCCAATCACATCTTCCGTCCAGAACATATGCTTGTAACCTTCAAAGATCAAAAAATTGTTTCTTTTGTCGACGACGACACTTTCCCCGATCAGGGTCTTGTTCCGACTCTTCCTCGGTCAGTTCACCAGCATTCAAGAATAGTCGGTAGCTCTCAAGGCTTGTTGTGCTTCAACGCTTTTACAGATTCGAATCAACCTAATCTAGGATATATCAGCAGGACATATATGACTGTTATTTGGAATCCTTCTATTAGAAAATCCATTGTTCGCAATGTGTCTATTGAGTTATATGAAAACGATGAAACAGTTTTTGGTTTTGGAGTTTGTCCTCTTACATATGACCCTATGATCATGGTGATTACTCAGTTTCACAAGTGGCCTGTAAAAGTCGGATTCACTGGCCTTTGGGACGTGAAGGTTTATAGATTGAGCTCTGCAAAATGGAAAAGCTTATCTAGAAATATTCCAAGTAAATCAATTCGAGTTCAATGTCCTCAGGTGATTGTTGATAGGTTTATCTATTGGTGTGCAGAGCAGAGATTGACTACAGATAATGGGTTACGCAGGTTTCATAATGTGGTTATGTCATTTGATATGACTAATGATAGTTTTAAAGTAGTAGACCTCCCCAAAGAGTTTAGCATGCCACCCTCTAAAAGACTTGTCCATTTCTAAACTAAAGGAGTCTCTTGCCATTCTTGAATACAATATAAACACTGGAGTTTATGATGTATGAATGATGGATGTTGAAAGATCGTTTGCAAAGATGTTCAACATTACGGCACCCCATGGATCAATAATGGGATTTTTGAAGAGTGGGGAACTTATAATGGAAGTGAAAGTAGATGATGCTTCTAAACTTGTTGTTTGTAAACCCTACACACGCTGCTCAGACCATTTCACTGATCTTGAGTTTTCTAGAACAAGTGATATGATGTCTGTGAACTCTTATGTGGAAACACTACTTTTCCTCGGTCGGTGTGATTGTAATGATTATTGACAGAAATAGAGGATTCAAAGACAAATTTGTAATGATTACCGACATAAATCGAGGATTCGAAGACAAATTTTGTAGCAGGCAATGGAGTCCATATTAGTTGAAGTTGATATATAATAAGTTAATTGGCCTATGTAATCAAGGAGCTTCAAAGTGTTGTTAGTGGTATGTGAGTTACCATTTTTGATAATAATTTAAATGCATTATATATAAATTTATGCCGTGTTAGCTCCCAGATCAATGTTTCTAACTTTTTTGGAGCAATATGCATAATTAATTATGTTTTGTTAGGCCTTGCGAAGGTCTCGTAGTGATTGGAGGAAAGAAACCACCATGCACACAACACGGGAAGTCTCGTGGTGATGACCGAGCCACGATCGTGGCCTCATGTGGTATATACCATGAGAGACCATAACCAATGATCTTTCTTCTTCTTTGTTCCTCTTTCTTCATCGTTCCTTTATTTTCTTATTGTTGTGGATACACCATCACCATTCTAGAAGGAGATTGTGACGAGGTGGAAGCAGATGGGGGTTGAGGTGGAAGGAAACCACGACTATTGCCATGATATACATACCCCTTCGGCATTAATGTTAGACATTTTCTTTGGTATTGTCGTTCGTAGATTTTTAATTTAATCCATCTGTTTTTTTCAAATGTAGATTTCTTCAAGCCTTTTCCATAAAAAGGTGTTTCCACTTGAAACAAGTATTTTCTTGTCTACATGTGTTATAAAGTCGATTTATGTTTTTATGATTTAAGTACTACAGATGATCATGTGGAAAGATTTACTTCAGGCATTTAATTCTTATAATTTGGCAAACATGGAGATGAAAGGTGTTTAAGTTGAAATAAATAAGTTTTCTATTATCGTAAATATTCCTTTATGCTTCCATTCCTCCAAAAGGCTTCAAACTTGAGGATTCATTGAGGATTCTTTAATGTCCAAATGTTTATCTTCTCTTACATCAAACCTACCACTGATTACATATTTTAGAATTGTCGGAATATGGTTTAAAGTTTATCTGGGTTATAACTTATATAGTTGCTAATGTATCATCTCAATTCAAAATTGGATGCGTTGATGCATATTAACATAATGCTAGCTCGTTGTATCTATGCGGGAGCATTATTATTTTAAAAGGGAGGACAATAATGAATTTATAGTGGTAGGATATTGATTTATTTGAGGTGCTACTATACATACTCTAATTACTAAATGCAACCCTCTTATATGTAGCATCCTAATTTTGAGGCAAATTAATTTTTTTTTATTAATTAAATAATGGGAAAATGACACATACGACCTATGAAATTTCTAGGGTTTACGCTTTTAGTCACTTAACTTTTTAAGTGACTTTATGAGGGAACCAATTTTATTTTGTCGGGTCGATTACATCATTTATTTCATTTATGAAGGGGTCAGCCGATCATATTTATGCGACTTGTGTTACTTAAACCCCTTGGTTTGCTGACTGTGTATGTCATGTCATTTAATAATAGCTTTACTTAAACGAGATCTTTTCCCGTCGACTGTTCATCACTTCCATCTCTTTCGATAAACCCTTACTTGCTTTCGTCTCCTCAAACCTCAAACATGGATCCTGTATTCATCCAAGTCGATGTGCATTTCCAAGGAATCTTCACAAAATACCCCATACGCTACACCGGGGGGATTACTCAGAGGTTGTCGGACATCGATTTCGCAGGCATGGACAAGAATGGGTGTTATGAGTTTATCGAAAGGTTCACTGGAGAAAAGTGTGAGAAGCTCTATTACTGCCAACCTGATATTGATTTTCCCAAAGGTTTGACCTTAATTTCCAATGAGATGGATTATGCCGATTTTATAGTAATAGCTTATGAATGCGGTGTTATACTCCCTATGTATGTAGACCATTTTGGTAATAGTAACATGCATGAATGGTTGGAAGAACACAAAGAATAGGTTGTTGATAATGTAGTGGAAGAAGTGATTGATGGTGCAGGACTAATTAAGGAAATTGAGACAGACAATTTGGATGAGGAATGAGGATGAAGATGAAGATGAGGATGAGGATGAGGATGAGGATGACCATGTGGCTGAGGATGTGGATGCTGATGAAGATGAGGATGACCATAGCAACCCTCATTTCTTCAAAAAGGATAATGGCCTTGATGTTGACATGGGTGAGAACGCAGGTTTGGGTGACCCTTTGGAAGAAGCCATGGATGAAAATGAAGATGTTTATCCTGAGTTGCCAAATATTTTCAATGAAAAGCTGCACTGGAAGGAGCAGGAACCTGTGTTAGGTATGAGGTTTGAGAGTCCTAAACAATTGAAACACATGCTCTGTAACTATGCTGGTGCAAATGGTTATCAATTATGTTTTGTGAAAAATGATAGTAGATGGTTGCTAGCCAAATGTTGTGATGGAAAATGTACATTTATGGTTTGGGGTTCATGGATGAGTAATGATAAGTCTTTCCAAATCAAATCTCTTATTAGTGACCATATTTGTTCAGAGAATTTCAAATTCGGATAAATTGTCACGTATAAAGGGATATGTACCCACTTTACCCAACAATTTTTTAACAATCAAAAGATGAGTGTGAGATTTTTTAGAAAGGAGTTGAAAACCACTTTTAGCATTATTATGAGTATGAGTCAGTGTAGGAGAGCCAAGAAGTATGCACTGAGTCTAGCTGAAGGCACGGTTGCATAAAATTATGCTAGAATATGCTCTTACGGTGAGGAGATTAAAAGATCAAATCGTGGATCCACTGTTAAAATTTATGTGGATGCAATGCCTGATGGTAAGAATTACTTCAACAAGATTTACATGTGCTTTGTTGTAGTCAAATAGGGGTAGAGGGGAGCGTGTAGAAGGATCATTAACTTGGATGGTTGTTTCCTAAAAAGTTTTTGCCAAGGTGAGTTGATTTGTGCTATTGGTAGGGATGCTAACAATAGGATATTCCCAATTTCTTGGGCAGATGTATGTGTGGAAAACAAGGAGAAATGGAAATGGTTCATTGAAAATCTTCCAGAAGATTTGCAGTGTTGGAATGAAAGAAGTGGGTTGGTTTTAATTTTTGATCAACACAAGGTATGTTTGTAAAATATTAAAATAGTATAATAAATATTTACATTTCTAACTTCACCTATTCCTGGTACATATGCAGGGTTTGGTTGAGGCAGTCAAAGAAGTATTCCCAGCAGCATAACATAGGCAGTGTGCTAGACATATATATGCCAATTTTAGAAAGAAGTTTAGTGGAGCCAAGTTTGAAAATTTGTTTTGGAGAGCAAGCAAGGCAACAACTGAAGCACATTTTAAGATATTCATGAAAGAGATTGAAAAGTTGAATCCTGAAGCCGTTACATATATTATGGATAGAGATCCAAAGACTTGGTATCTAGCTTTTTTTAGAGTTCACAATTCATCTTGTGAATCTGTGGAGAATGGCTTTTCAGAGAGCTTTAATAGTGTGATTTGGATGCTAGGAAGAAAGCTATTATCAACATGTTAGAGGACATTCGTACATATGTGATGCAAAGGATGGTGACTATGAAACTAACATGTCAAGGATGGAATCGTTATTCTGTTTGTCCAAACATCAGAACAATATTGAATATTCTCTAAAATGAGCAAAGGTTTGCACACTTATTTATTCATACATACCTTACCTCTCTCAACTCTAAACATTTTCATTACATTATGTAGGCATTGGCAGGTTGTGTCTTGTGGGGATATTAAATTTGAAACAAGGAAAATGGATGAGTCATACATTGTTGATGTCACAAAAAAGGAATGCGGTTGCATGTTATGGAAACTAAATGGGTATGGTTATGTTCATTCAGTAACTACATTAACATATTTAAACATCACACCTGATGGACCATATGTAGACCCATTGTACCTGGGAGCCTTCTTCCATAATACCTACAAACAGTCCATTAATGGCATGAATGGAATGAACATGTGGCCTTCTACAAACTTTATACCTCCATTGCCTCCATTGAAAAGAAGAATTCCAGGCAGGCCAACCATGAAAAGAATAAGGGATGCTTCTGAACGGTCTGGAAAGCACATGGTTTGAAAGGCAGGGAAAAAGGTTTCTTGTGGCATATGCAAACATAAAGGGCATAACAAGACCACTTGCACTCAAGTGCCAAGGCCACCTAAAACTAATGTCACACAGAAACAAAAGATCATGCAAACATAAGAGTCAGTGAATATGCAAGGGGTGGAGAAGATGATGTTATGGGTGATGCAGTTGAGCGACAAGCTGAGGAAGTTATGAGGGTAAACGAATCTGAGCAAGTGGTGAGGGTTAATGAAGATGAGGAACTGGGAAGGATTAATCAAGTTGTTGGGCATGTGTATACTACAGGTCAACCAATCAAGAGGAAAAAGTCTGAGAGAATTCTTAAACTAAAGCTTGCTAAAAGAGTTGAAGGTGAAGGTAGTAGTGTTGGATCGCCAATGGAGTTAGATTAATTACAGTTTTAATTTGTATGTCTGTTATGTGGATTGAACAAGGGAATTTATGTTCATGTATGTTATACTAATCTTAACATTTGATATTTGGATTCGTGTATGTATTTACAATATGTATGATCTTATTTATATTAGTGTCTACGGGGTACTTTAGTCATTACAAATATTTCAACAGGGCATGTTAATGTTAGTTTAGGGGTACTTTAGTCATTCAAATCAGTTAATCCAGTAGGTGTATGTTATTTCAAGTAATTAATAAAGTAGGGGTATTTTAGTCAATCAAAGAAGTTAGATTAATTACAGTATGTTAGGATATTAGTGTCATTTTAATTAGTTAAACAAATAGGGGTATTTCAGTCATTATTTTTTATGTGACTTAACCCATCAGGGGTATTTCAGTCAATATTTTTTATGTGACTTAACCTGAAACGTCCCAAAATAACGGACCACAAATTTCGTTTTAAAATCATTAATAAAACCATGAATCTCAATCATCATATAAAACCATAAACCATGTGTCTCAAAAAGAACATAATATATGTCAATGTGTCAAAATCATGTATCAAATATCAGAGTAAATATCCCAGGCTATAAACATAATGGTGTGTGCACTGCAATCATCCCGAGCTCTTCCCCTTGCTACCGGAAGTACCTGAAACCAAAACTGAAAACTATAAGCACGAAGCTTAGTGAGTCTCCCCAACTACCACATACCATACACATATCACATAAACATATCTTGGGCCCCGCCCCTGCTACGTTGAGTCAAGCTCGGCATCGGCTTTCCCGGCATCGGGCCCAACCCGACATCAAACCCTATTCGGCATCGGGCCCCGCCCGACATCGAGCCCCGCCCGACATCGAGCAGATCTTGGAATACATGTGAGCATAAAAAATTAATACACATAACCCTAAGCATATATCATAACATTTAAACATTTCCTTGGGCCCGACATCGGACTATAATCCGGTATCATACTAACATTCAACTGGACCGCCCCGACATCGAACTGAAGTCTGGAAACATACAATACAAACACATGCAAGAACCACAAAGACATCAAGTATACAAACATTCCTCGGGACCGCCCCGACATCAGATCGAAATCCGGAAAAACATATAATCCTACATCGGGACCCGCCCGACATCAGACTGTAGTCCGGAACTACTACTAACTAAATGGGCCGGCCTTGGTGCCTTAGACCCGTTCCTACTGGAGGAAACTCACCTCGAATGCTAGTTGTGAAATCTCATGTGAGGAATCTCTGACGGCTGCTCCAACGACTTCCCGACTATAAAATTCACAATAACACTTAATCAAAAATCTGCTAACTCTTCTTAGGGTAAAATGACCATTTTACCCCTGGTCAAAGTCAACGTCCTAGTCAAAGTCAAAGTCAAGGTCAACTCCCAGTCAACCTAACTCGTCGAGTTATCTCCCAACTCGGCGAGTTCCTGTACTACTTAGACTCGTAGTCAACCGAGTCAACTCGTCGAGTCCCTTCACAGACTCGTTGAGTTCTACCTGGCATACCATCGGGACAACCCGGCTTCAACTCGTCGAGTCTCTTACTGGACTCGCTGAGTTCCCCTGTCTGTTTGGGCTATCTTAATGGATTAAGCCCCTACACTTCAGATCCAAGCTTCATACTTCACAATAACCCTGGAAATGTCGTTTTATGGGTAAAGTTTCTGACTTTACCCCTTAATACCAATTCTTAAAGGGTTTAGCTCAAACCCTAATTTCTTGGGACCTAGAACTTGGTCCTTAACTCTTCTATACACCAACCTAAAGCTTACAACTTCAGATCTAAACCCCTAACACTACTTGGAAACGTAAAGTTCACACATTTTCTCCACATGCATGACCTTTTGGGCTAAAAAGGCCAATATGATACTCTATGGCTTGCATGGGGGCTCCAATGGCATAAAGTTTGCACCTTTATGTCATAACAGCCCCTCTAGGTCCTAGATCTGGAAGATTATCCACATGGATCGCCCATTCTCCAAAGGTTATCATTCTTGGCTCAAAACCTTCATAAAAGGGAAAGGAAGAGATCTAATGAACTAGAGGTCAAGATAGAAAGTTGATTACCAGAAAATGTAGACAATGAAATGTAGTTTCTGGATCTACTATCTTCCTCTTGAGCCTTCTAACTCCTTCTTCTTCTTCAAGCTTCAAGAACTTAAAAGATTGCTTACAAATGGCTCACACACTCACAAGATGCTCTAGGGTTTCGTGGATTAGGGTTTGGGAAAAGGAGGCTGTAAATGAGGCCAATGGGTGGGGATTAAGATGCTTAAATAGGGTGCAAAACCCTGAAATTAGGGTTTCATTATGGCCGATCTACTCGTCGAGTCGAGGGCTCTTGACTCGTTGAGTAGATAGCTTATGCCCTGCGCATAAACTGCCTTCTACTCGACGAGTTAGGGCCACCAACTCGTCGAATTCCTCTCTTAGAATGAAAAATAAACAAGTTAAATGCATACCAGGAACCAGGCGTTACAATTCTCCCCCACTTATCTTAGACTTCGTCCTCGAAGTCTGCTGCATCTGGAAACAACTCTGGGTAGTGCTCCCTTATCTCCTCCTCGGGCTCCCATGTCCACTCCGAACCCTTGCGGTGCTGCCATTGCACCTTTACTAACTGAACGACCTTGTTCCTCAAGGTTTTCGTCTTGCGATCCAGAATCGCCACCGGTCTCTCGATGTAGTTCAGGCTGTCGTCAACCTGAATATCCTCTAGGGGCACAATCTCTGAATCATCCACTAAGCACTTCCGCAACTGGGAGACATGGAAATTGTTGTGGATCTGACTGAGCTCTGCCGGTAGATCCAACCGATAAACCACTCTGTCCACCCGGGCTATAACCATTAAAGGACCAATGTACCTGGGGCCCAACTTGCCCCATTTCCGGAACCAGGTGACACCTTTCCAAGGTGACACCTTCAGGAGGACCATATCGCCCACCTAAAACTCTAAATCTGAATGTCGCTTGTCGGCGTAGCTCTTCTGCTGACTCTGAGCAGTCTGGAGCCTGCTCCGGACCTACTTGATCCGCTCTGTAGTCTTGAGTACTACCTCAATACTCCCCATGACTCTCTGACCTACCTCATCCCAACAGATTGGGGTCCTACACTTCCTCCCGTAGAGCATCTCGAAGGGAGGTCGGTCTATACTGGCGTGGTAACTGTTGTTATACGAAAATTCTACTAATGGAAGATACGTATCCCAACTGCCACCGAAATCCAAAACACATGCACGCAGCATGTCCTCGAGAGTCTGTATCGTCCTCTCGCTCTATCCGTCTGTCTGAGGGTGGAAAACGGTGATGAAGTGGAGACGAGTACCCATCTCCTCGTGAAACCGCTTCTAAAAACTGGAAGTGAAACGGACATCTCGGTCTGACACCAACGAGAGAGGCACTCCATGTCGTGCCACTATCTCACGCACATATATCTCGGCCAACTTCTCGGCCGATATGCTCTCTTGGATCGGGATAAAATGAGCGCTCTTGGTCAACCGATCCACGATGACCCATATCGAATCTACTCCACGTGCGGTCCTTGGAAGCTTGGTAATGAAATCCATAGTGATATCTTCCCATTTCCACACGGGAATGTCCAATGGCTGCATCTTGCCGTAGGGACGTTGATGTTCGTCCTTGACCTTCCTGCAGGTCAAGCATCGTTCCACGTACCAAGCAACGTCCCGCTTCATGCAGGGCCACCAGTAATCCGGGCGAAGATCCCGGTACATCTTCGTCGCCCCGGGATGGATGGAAAACCTCGACTTGTGGGCCTCATCCATCAGAATCTGTCGTACTCCGCCCTAGTATGGAACCCAGACCCTCCCATGCAGGGCTAACAACCCTCGGCTATCATAATCAAACGAGGCCACCCGGCCTACGATGCGCTCACACTTCTGGCGCTCTTCCTTCAGGCCCTCAACCTGTGCCTCTCTAATCTTCTCCAGCAATGGAGTAATCACTGCCATCCTCAAGCATATGTCTCTAATCGGAGCCGCCACCGCCTTGCGGCTCAGGGCGTCGGCCACCACATTGGCCTTGCCCGGGTGGTAAAGGATCTCACAGTCATGATCCTTCACCACATCAAACCACCGACGCTGCCTCATGTTCAGATTCGGCTGATCCATGAGGTACCTCAAACTCTTATGGTCCGTGTAAGTGGTACAATGGACTCCGTAGAGGTAATGCCGCCAAATTTTGAGGGTAAACACCACAGCCCCCAACTCTAAATCATGCGTCGGATAATTAGTCTCGTGAGGCTTCAGCTGCCTCGACGCGTAAGCTATCACATGACCCCTCTGCATCAAAACTGCACCCATGCCTGTAATCGATGCGTCACAATAAACCACGAAGTCATCAACTCCCTCGGGCAGAGTCAAAATCGGTGTCTTGCATAACCGCTGTCTGAGAGTCTCGAAGGCTGCCTGTTGCTCAGGCCCCCAACGGAATGTCACCGACTTCTTGGTCAGTCGGGTCAAAGGAACAACAATCTTGGAGAAATCCTGGATGAATCTCTTGTAGTAACCCGCTAGGCCAAGAAAACTCCGAACCTCAGTTGGAGACCTCGGAACCTCCCACTGCATCATGACCTCTATCTTGGCCGGATCAACCAGAATACCCTTCTGGTTGACAAGATGCCCCATAAACTGCAACTCGCGCAACCAGAACTCACACTTGGAGAACTTTGCAAAAAGTCTCTCCCTCCTCAGTGTCTCCATCACCTCCCTCAGGTGCTCCTCATGCTGCTCCCGAGTCTTGGAATAGACCAAGATATCATCAATGAAAACAATCACAGACCGATCCAGCATCGGTCTGCACACTCGGTTCATGAGGTCCATGAACGCGGCTGGAGCATTGGTGAGCCCAAACGGCATCACCACAAACTCATAATGACCATAGCGAGTCCTAAAATCCGTCTTCTACACATCTTCCTCTCTGACTCGTATCTGGTGATACCCGATCGCAGGTC